AACACACCCCCGACCACCGAGACAATCCTCCACTCAATAATGACCCTACTGACTCGCCTCGACCAAAGAGTGTCCGGCCTCGAGGGCAACAGAACAGCAGCACGCTAGACAGAGACTTTACGCTACTCAACTGGAACGCGAACAGCATCACACACAAAACGACTGAACTCACACACATACTCCAGACAAAAGACATCGACATTGCATGCATCACTGAAACTCACCTAGACAACACAAAAACACTCTACATACCAAACTACACGGTACACAGACGTGACAGACGCGAAAAATCCCATGGCGGAGTGGCTATCCTTGTACGCAAGGGCATCCGCCATCGAGTCATAAGTACGGACGCTGCCAACTGCGAAGCAGTCGGCATTGAAGTACACACCACCTCATCTGCCTCCATCAGGATCATCTCCCTCTATTCTCCTCCAACGGATGATTCAAACCTCCAATGCATAATCCCGCTGTTTGACTCCAACATTCCTACGATAGTTGCTGGTGATTTAAACGCCAAGCACAAATCGTGGGGATGCAAACACGAAAATCCTAAGGGTCGTTCCCTCCTCAAACACTTGCGCAACCTCAACATCAACATTGAGGTTCCGAGTGAACCAACTCACTATCCAAGCTCACCAGACCTAGACCCAGACATCTTAGACATATTCCTGACGAAAAACTTGACCATCCCTACGGAACCACGTACATCCCCAGACCTCCCTTGCAACCATAACCCAGTCTACCTAGAGATCCCAAGATCCCTTCTCACCATACCTGTCACCACCAGCCGCATAGACTGGGTCCACCTTGCATATAACCTCGAATCCTCCCCATTTAAATGTCGTCCCATCAGGTCCCAAACGGAACTCGACATAGCAGTAGACGAATTCACTGACGAACTCAACAGATGCACACACGAAGCCACCACAACAACCACAGCTCCCCAACACACACTTAAACTCCCCCGCGACCTCCTGCGTCTCATCAAGGAGAAGAAAAGAGTCCAGAAACTCTGGCAAAAAAAGAGAACCCTCGAACTTAAAGTTCATCTTAACTCCCTTAAAAGGGAAGTCAAATCCAAAATCTTCGAATTCCAAAACAAGGAATTTAACAAATTCATAGCCGAGGCAGAGTCCCACCCAAGAAATGCTTGGAAGGTCATTAAAAAAACTCCGTAACAAACGGCCTCCCCCCCCCCCTTCAACAAGGGAACAAACTCTACTCGCTAGATTCGGACAAAGCAGAGATCTTGGCAGACTTGCTGCAAAATCAATGCTCCCCCAACCTTAGCGCTAAAGAACTAGCGCAGGAACACGCGAGGATCACCCACACAGTGCAGATACAGGTCCTTGACAATCCAGATTTCAAACACTGCACACCCTTCGAAATCAGAGGCATTATCCGATCCCTAAAAACTCAAAAAGCCCCTGGCAGTGACGGTATCTCCAATAGCGTCCTGAAAATCCTCTCTCAAAAATTCATCACGGCGATTTGCAACATCACCAACGCCATGATGCGCCTTCGTTATTTCCCAATTGCGTGGAAGGTGGCTACGGTCATCTGCCTCTCGAAGCCGGGAAAACCTCTCAGCAACCCCGCGAGCCACAGACCCATTAGCCTACTCTTATCGCCCAGTAAAATCACTGAAAGCGTCATTCTCACCCGCCTAAACAAGCACGCCACGAAAAATAACATCCTTCCAGACGTGCAGTACGGTTTTAGAGCCAGACATTCGGCTTCGTACACCAGCTTCTGAGAGTTACCGAAGACCTCTCCGATAGCCTCATCCACAAAAACTTTACCGCGATAGCTTTCCTAGATGTACAGCAGGCCTTTGACAGAGTTTGGCACGAAGGCCTCCTGTATAAGCTTATTCAGTTAGGTTTCCCGCACTACCTCATCGGCATCGTCAAATCTTACCTCTCGGACAGATTTATCCGCGTTAAAGTAGGCGACTCCCTCTCCGACCCCCGTCCAATAACCTCCGGAGTCCCCCAAGGCTCCAAACTTTCACCCACCCTTTTCAACATTTTTTGCCACGACCTGCCCCAGCGCGAAAACATCAACACGTACGTCTGTGTAGACGATGTCACGGTCAGCTGCACGTCAAATCAACACTCACGGTGCACCACCTTTCTAAACGAGCACATCGCCACTCTCCATTACTGGTATAGTCTTTGGAAACTAGTCGTAAACGAGGCAAAGACTATAGCCATGCTCGTGTCTTGGAAAAATCTAAGAAAGAAACTGCAGAAGATAAAGGTCAACGGAGTAGAAATTGACTGGAGCTACTCCACCAAGTACCTTGGCGTAACGCTAGACCGCCGACTCACGTACATTCGGCAGATCAACAACACCCGCGGCAAGGCATACGGAGCCTTTGTGCAGCTAAAGCCCTTCTTCAACAACAAAGCCGTATCCCAGAAGACCAAGCTGCGCACCTTCAACGCCATAATCAAAAGCATCAGCACCTACGCAATACCAACGTGGGGCGCTACAAAGAGAAACCGACTACAGGGCATCCAGGGCCCTTTCATGAAGATACTGAGGTCGGTCCTGGGTATTCCGTGGTACATCAGGAATACCCAGATTATCAAGGAGTTTAACTTATAAAAATGAAATATAAAATTTAGCAATCTAATGAGATTTATGTGTCAAAAGGTTTGACATCAAATTGTTACAAATCAGCGCACGAAAAGAAAAAAGAAAGAAATGATTGTGTATCTGAATATCATAAATTTTGAGCGAGTCATTACTGTTATTAAGAATATAGTTTATGTTACGCTTATAAAGTTCTAAAGGCAGATTATTAAAAAATATTCAGTACGAAATTTTTCATCATAATAAAAGGAATATGTTAATTTATTACGCTGATTACCTGTATTGCTAAACCCTTTCTTACCCTCATTAACAACCGAAACATGTTGTAAAATGATTTAAAATACAAGAGAAAATTATATTTATTTCTACGAATACCTTTTCATTATTAATTTTAATTATAATTTTCTGGAATAGAACTACAGTATAAGCGTGAACTACGCAAATCTATATTTCTTTTTTAAGATAAAATATAAGATATGTTTCAGTTAATGAATACGTCGGTGTAAGTAGTTGTTAAGCTCACTTCACATTTTCAAAAATATTGACATATTATTTCTGTATTCAAAGTAGAAAAATAAAATAATTAGTAGACACTTGGTAAGTGGTACCAAATGTGAAAAATTAAGGATGGCAGTAAAATCTAGTGTTTCATGAAATGATAAAAAATGTACATTCATATAATTATTATCTCCTACTGCATAAATAAATTTAAGAAACTTACTTGTCAAGCCTGCACTTGGAATCAAGTGGAACATATAAGGGGCTGATTGAGTTTGAATTAATGCTTCACTAAAAATAGATTGAACATTCATAGTAACAGTTGAAACAGGATCCTGGAAAATAAAGTGATAGGAATTATAAATAGTGTAATTTTTGCAATTAAAAAATATTTTTTACTTCAACACGTGGTACAACTCAATTTTGTAAATTACTTTGTAGAAATAAGATAATAAGCATTCTGATGAATATAATTAAAAACTTTCAATTACAACGTTATTCTGAGAAAACTCCTCAAAATTTTTTAAGTCACCCCAATAAATACTTGTTTCTGTTAAGATGTACTACGATACTCGTAATATCTTGGACAGATTCAAGAAGTAATAATTATGTACAGCATATACAATTTTAAAAGACATAGAATTATTGAGAATGCTTTTATAAAAATATAATATACAAGTAAATTGATTTCAATGTTTGGATCACTCAAAACATAACGAAGAAGCTGTCATCTAAAACTACAAAATTGTATCTTGAATAAAAATAATACATGTAATATTTTTTAAATTACTTCAACCCTTAGATCATCATGATTATTCATGGTTATACTGCATAACAAATAACTTTGAATAAAAATTTTAATTCAAAAACTATAATGGAAACCAAGATTGTTATAATAAGAATTGTACAGTCATTGTTCGTTGACCAAAAGTAAACAGGGTATTCAATTGTCTGAAGACAATTTTCAGACTGTTAGTTGCAAACAGGAGGCCCTTGGCTCTGGAGCTCCTTTGAAAAAAAGAAGCTGAGGGCATATTCTTCTTTCTACCTAAGCTTTACGACGACTATTGGGAATGCACAGTATATTTTGTTTAAAAGAAGCTACGATTCTTCTTCAACTCCCTTTGGAGAAAATTTTTTTCGAGTACTTACGAAAAATTTCATAGTCTTTCAAATCTGGACAGATTTAATTTACCATTTGTTTGACTACTGAACGATAAATTACATAAATTTTTAAAGCTTGGTAAAATAAGAATACAAAACAACAAGGGAACAAACTCTACTCGCTAGATTCGGACAAAGCAGAGATCTTGGCAGACTTGCTGCAAAAAAAAAAAACACCGACAGTAATAAGCAACGCATAAAAAAAACGTTATTAAACCTTGGGCGACAATTCATCAAATGCGAGAGCGATCACTTGGCAACACCAACCTATAGTCGGGAATATGCGAGAGCAGACAGCAACCAGCAGCAACAGGAGCCAAGCTGCCGATTGCTTCCGTTTACCACTCGATAGCGCTGTTTGCTTGATTCTTTTGTCGTCTGCCTCTGCCTGCTTACCTCACTATGAATGAGTCCTTATAGCTTCACCCATTGTTCAATTCGCCCAGTATTTACCTCGGAGAAGATCAGTGATTCCTGGTTGAATGCATAAAGTTTAGAGGGTGATTCGAGGTTGTCGGTAGTCGGGGTATCAAAAAACTTCGTTCGTGACGTCTGCCAATGAATGACTGACTTTGTGTAACAGTGGTCGACTTTACATGGTTTTTAAGTGGACAAATCGTTGTCGGAATCGATTATAAAACTGTACTTGTTAGCATAGTAGTTTAACGTTAGATAACCCTAAAAAGAACCGTGAAGCTTGAAGGTTAATTAGGGAACATTAATACAAATGAGGGCCCTACGAAAGGCCAATGGTGATATTTCCACTCATTTCTTATTATTATTCTTAATGATAAAGATCTGGCTGCGAATAGCTTGACTTTTACCCTCGGACTCTCTGCGTACGGAGACCGTGCTGGAAGAAGGTACGCTGCTGTCCGAAAAATACCTCATTTTTGAGTCGTTTTCCGGGTAAGCAACCGTTCACCGTTGGTGGAGGAAAGTGGGCCTGGGAAATGAGTCCTCTGAAGAGAAGGCTGATTAAATTTTCAGTTGATATGGCTGCCTGAACTTCTCAGGGTTATATTTTCTGGCTTGCTGTTGTACTAATTCTGCTCTGGTATTACCAAGTCAATCGGAAAAACTGCCACGAAACCCCAAATTGTTGAAGCAGATAGTGCTCTAGCTAGGTGTCTCCTGTATCACGCTGGGGACATTGGCGTACAGAACGTCTTTTTTTTGTGGCACTCGTTAATCTTGGTGATTCAGGATGGAATTTGACGTCAGTCCCTTCAAAATTAGAAAACAGTGTTGTTGGTAGCCAGGATACTTAGCTGCACGACTCAAATTTCTATTCTTGATGCACTGCCAGTGAACAACTATGGTATTCGGCAATTTTTAAGGGAATATTATAACCAGACCCACTTACTTCTATTACTCGGAGCTTCGATTTCACTTTTACGCCACTTAGCAGATCCTAATGAACTAAAGTAAAAAGGTAGCATATTTTTTCAAAACTCTGAGCTTATTTGTTGCTGTTGTAATTAATTTTTTCAAGATAAAAACTATACAAAAACCATGTAGAAAGTGTCAAGAATCGGTATGCAAAACTGTAGAAAAATGGGTTAAATATTTTTTGCGGTTAAATTTTGTACGCTTGGAAAAGTTGTCCTTGGAAAAAATTTTTTTGGGATTAACAATATTTTTGGGATCTTAATTTTGGAGAAAAACGTACTTAAGAAATATTTATTGGGAAAACTGACTCCTAATCAACAAAAACTTAAGAAAAAGTCAGGATACCGTGTGAATTTTTTAAATGTTTTCTACCCTAAACTTTTTTTTCATAATTAAGGAGTTCAAATTTATNAGATTATTATAAACAAAACTAAAAATAACCTTTTTCTTCATAAAAAGAAGACTATTAAGTACCACGATTTATATTGTCTGTTCCAGTCATCTTTTATCTCCACCTTTTCCCACTTTTCAGTTTTCACCACTTGTCACTTTCTTCTACTTTCTTTCTTCCTTTCTTGCTTCTTGTTTTGTTGTTTCAATAATACCCTGATGTCTTCTTTTAGTTAACTTCATAATTTATCTCAATCTTCTTTAATATTCGCACTTAAAGCTTTAATCCCCCAACTTAAGAATTTCTTTTCATAGCCTAACCACACTTCTTAATACTTATATTTCCTTTGCATTTTGGCTTAGAACTTCTTTTATCTCTTTTCCATTCCTTGTTTTTTCACATATCCTCAGTATGTGTCTATGGTCTTCGTCTTCCACCTAAAAATGTCTACACATCTTTTCTTTCTCTTCTTTCTCTTTACACTCATTTTTGCATCTTAATCTTGCCATCAGCCTCTTATCTATACTTGTCACATCCTTTTTTAGGTACTATGGTTCTTCCTCTGTTTTGATGTATCTGTATGTCTTGTTGTATCTTAATTTTTTTATCTCTATTCTTTTTTCTTTTTCTCTCTGTCCTTTACTGGACATTAATTTTACTCTTACTTCTTAAATTCTACTTCTTTTATGTATCTTGTTTCTTTTACATTTTCATCTTTTAGAAATTTTGGTCTCTTCTTTGATCCTCTTCCTACATTCATTCTTACTTTATCCTTGTCTTTTTTTCTTACACCTTCTTTCACTAATTTTATATCTAAGTCCCTGATTTTTTTTTCAAACTTGAGCGCTTTCCATACCCAGTTTCCATATTTTTATTTATTTTTTAACCTTAGGCACTGATCTATCCACAAATTTTTGTACTTCGCTTTATCTTTCATTTACTTCTTTTCCGTTTATCTTTCAATCCTTGCACCTTTCTCGAAACTGATCAATTATTTTAAGAGACCATTTTCTCGGTGCTTCGCTTTCTTTATCCTTTTCCTCTTTTGTCGTTTCTATTACTTCCTTTTAATATACTTTCATAAGTAGGTAATCTTACTTCGTTCTTTGTACGATTTTCATTAGTTTAATTTGACCAAAAGCCTCTTTATTTCCTATAACATAATCAACTACAGTTTCGCCCTTGCTGCTAACATATGTGAACTCTCCTTCTTCCTCTTTTTGTCAATTTGCTATTCCCCATTCATCTTCTCTAATTTCTTTAATCAACCATTTTCCTTCCTCATTTATTGTTCCATCCTTAGACATTCTTATTTCTACTTCTCTACTTTTTCAGTCAGTGTCGTTAATCCATCCTCCTTTTCTTCCTGTTCTTGCGTTCCAATATCCTAATAAAAATACACTTCCGGCTTCTTCCTCTCCTATTATCTCTTTTCTAATTGTAATCGTTTCTGTTACGTTTTGACTATATACTCCAATAATTTTTAACTCCTGTTCTCCATATTTCTTCTCTTGCATTATCAAGTTTTCATTTCATACTTCGAATTTCTTGCTCTCCATCTTTTTGTCAAGTCCTGTAATTAATTTTCCTTTTGCTATCCCGTTCTTATATTCTCTTGCCACTAATACGAAATTCCATTCGAACTTCCTCGACAACTTCCTTTTTAGATTTGTCCATTGATCTTTTTCCAATCACGTTTTCACCAACGCTATCATTTCAGAGTCATTTAGATATTCTCACACCTCACAGACTTTATTTCCTACACCTGCTATATTCCAAACACGGACACTTATATTACATCTTATCCTTCCCTTCGTTTGTTTTTTTTCTTGCACCTATCATTACTGTGACTTTTTCGCTTCCTTTTCTTTAATCTTCTTTCTATCTTCCGTAAATTTACTGCTCCATTCATTATATATGAACCATTGCTCATTGATCATTATTTTGATGTAACCCACTTTTGTTGTTTTTTCTTTGCTTCTCTCCTCTTTGCATTCACCCAGTATCAATTTCTAAGTTTTCCTTTCGTCTCCAGTCAGATCGTTTTAAATATATATCCCCTTCTCTAGCTTCTTCTAGTTCGCCATAACGCTATCCTTTAATTCCTAGTTTTCTAACTATAACTAATTTACTCTCTCCTCTTCCATTATTAATAACTTTTTATAAGCCTTTTCTACTTTAATCCTGACATTTAATTTCTATGAAATATATTTTTCCACTTTCTTTTCTAGATTAAATTTTTCAATAGATGCCCCCTTAATTACTATATTCTTTTTTTTTTTCTCTTTTACCTTTTTTTCCCATTCTAGTCTACTAACTCTCTCTTATAAAGATGTTCTCTGTTCCGTCAATTCTTGTTTCTCTTTATCCTATTTGGTTCTCTCTTCT